CCAGTTTTACGCTCTCCATTACTTACTAGTTACTGTTTTTTACAAAAATTGTTTGGAAAATTTTGGTTTTAGTGATCGTCAGAAAGAGTTATATGTTTTATTAACTTATATTTTATATCAGATATTTATTATTATATATTTGTATTATGTATTATTATTGGTATAAGAGTTAACAAAGACTTTATTAAATAAAATATTAGAGTAGAGCCACTGTAGCATATACTGTGGCTAAAATAAACAAGGTAGTATCAAAGATAATACATGGCCTTCAAGTCTCTCAACACGGCTCTCAAGTCCCTCAACTCTTTCAACACAGCCTTCAATTCCCTCAACACAGCCTTCAAGTCTCTCAAGTTCTTCAAGTCTCTCAACACGGCCTTCAACTCTCTCAACATGGCCTTCAACTCTCTCAACATAGCCCTCAACTCCTTCTACTACCTTGGCTTGGTATGTAAAAGATATATAAAGGATGTATTTGCCCCTTCTGCTCAGTTTAGAGTTTATACCCCTCTTATAGCATTAGATACTTTTCTTATTCCCTTATGTGAAGTGTAATATTCCCTCTCTAGGGTAATTCCTACAGGCAAGGCTTATTATCATCTCTTATTTTAATAAAGTTATATACTATTACTATCTCGAATTGTCTGCCTCCTGCTAGTGAAGTAATCCAACCCTTCACTTCCACCTCATGTATATTCATCAAGTATATCACTGCACTGGGTGACCTTGTTACTGTGCTATATTAGTACTTAGAAGGCTATAGCATTGTAACAATATTCAAAATTTGAATTGCTCTCTTAATGAAATTATAGTTGCAGTATATAATGAAGTGGGTCAGAACATAGTAGCAGCTAAGCCTCATATAAGAAAAGACTCTTGAATACACTTAGAGCTAATTTTCGCTAATAAAGAAAAACTCAAATACTATGTAGTGAAAAGTATCAATATCTTTAATAAGACATACTTTGGGTTTATCTCAACTAATACAAGAAAATTATTCTTTCTGATCAAGATCAGAAAACAAAAAAGTGATCTCCAAAGTACCATAAATCGCCATATACAAGACCCATGTGATGCAATTTTTTTCAATTGAAAAAAATTTAAATCACGTGCATTACGCATCACTTGATGTATAAATACTATTTTAAAAATTGATCTACATTATTTGTCACGCAGGGTCTTGTATATGGCGATTTATGGTAATAGAAGAGGTCTTTGAAGGCATGGGAAAAATTGCTTTAATTAAACCTCTTCTGATCGAAGGCACACCTTATCTTACTGATTAATAGATTATTATCTTTGAGATAACTAAAGACTCTGATTTGGAAAAAAGAATCCCCAGGTTTTATGCTTTCTGGGATAACAAAATAACTACAGAATGAAGATTTGCTCCTAAAGTATGCTATTTTTGCAATAAAGTGTGTTATATTAAAAAAGACTATAAATAGCTTAGGGATGTAGTAGCCCTTTGACAACATTACTGCGAATTTTTATTAAAGAAAAATAATACAACACAGGAGTTCCTGATGTTCTCCTCTGGATCAAAATGAGACAATAAGCATTCAAGGTTACAAAGAGCTGAAAATAAATGACTTAGTTCTTTACTCAATAATAAAGCCTCTGAAAACCAAACCTCAGTTGGGAGTGACTGCGGTATGCCTTTACAATCCCTATCTGGGTTAGATGAGAAAGAGATACCAAAGAAAGAAGAGAAGAATCAGTCTTCTCCTTCTTCTCCAAAAATATTGTTAGACAACAAAAAAAACATACAAATGCAGAAAATTCCAAAAGACAAGATCACAATTATTATACCTGAGTCCTTAATATTAGATGAGAATTGGTTACCTTTTCAGACCATCGATGATAACAATAGGTTCATCATAGTTTCTTACAAGAAGAAAAAAGAAAAAAAAGAAAGCACGAATAATAAGCAAGAAGCTACCAGAGCTAGTTTCTATAAAAAGCTTTGTCTCAGGCCACAAAATTTAGTGATTTAAGGATTATTACTATCTAATTATCTTAATCTCATGACTAGAAAGTCTAAATTCAAACTGGCAATATTAAATATAAAAGGACTAAATGATATACAGAAAAAACAGAAAACTTTAACTCTTTTAAAATCATATAGACTTGACTTTATTTTGCTCTAAGAAACAAATTTGAACAATGAAAACACTAGAAATTTTTTACAATAGCAATGGTTGTTTGATTTAATATGGTCTAATAGAATAGCAATTTTGGCTAGTAATAGAGACATTAGTTTTAAAAATGTTAAAATAATACACGATAGTAGGATCATCTTTACAAGCTTCAATTGGAAGGGTCAAACCTTCCAGGTAACTAATACATATACTCCTCCAAACACAGAAGACAAGGTTACATTTTTTAACAATTAGGCAGTATACACAAAGAATAATAGCATCAACATAGTAGCTGGGAACTTTAACACTAACCTCTACTCAGAAAGAGATAGAATAAGCGGATCCACTACTCAATATGACTCTACAAAACTTTAGTTAGAGGAAGTTACCAAAAATTTTATAGACACATCAGAGCTCTCAAAAACCAGGCCCTTCTTTATATTTTTTCAAAGAACTCAAGAAAATCGCACTATGGCAATGCACTTAGACTACATCTTTATAGACAAAAGTTATACTCATCTAGCTGCAAAAACTTGCACAAGATTTGGTAACTCAGATTATCTCTTGGTAGAATGCATACTGAGTTTCAATCCAAAAACAAAAGAGTCCACATTATGGAAATTCGATAGAAATTGTCTAAAAAATGATAAGCTAAGAGAAGAAATTTTTGGAGAAATTCAAGAAACAAAAGACTCAAAAGAATAGGATCTGTGTAAAGTTTATATCCAATCAATAATAAGGGCTGTTAAAAACCCAAGACCTCTGAAACTAAAATTACCAAGTTAAACAAAAAGATAACTCGTTTGAAAGAAAAAATAGTAAATAATCTAACAAACCTAAATTTACAATCACAAATAGAAGATTTGAATAATCTGTTACAAGAAGAAGTTAGCCAAATGGCAGACCCGCTCAAAGGCCTATTGGTGAAAAGTCAACTAGATATTTCTTCTTGAAATACAAAACAAGAAAAGCCTATTTTGCTCTTCAAAAAATAAAGGATCCTTCACTTACAATACAAAATAAAGAGAACACTCTTCTTTATATCAAGAATAAATATGCTGAAATTTATAAGCAGAAAAAAATATACCTGGAAGCGGCAAATGAAATAACTATGAACCTCCCACAGGTCTCTGAGACACAAAATAAAGCTTTGAGCTTCAAAAAGAGATAAAGAATGCAATAAAGAGACTTCCAAATGATAAGTTCCCAGAAACTGGCAGGTTAATTTACAAGTTCTATAAGTCTTGTGATAAGGTGGTGGTACTAGTTCCACACAAAGTTTTCAACAATGTGTTATCTTGGTATAAAAGTCTAATTACCCTGATTTTGAAAAAGGGAGATGCTCTAGATAATATCGACAACTAGAGATCTATTTCTCTGGTAAATGCAAATACCAAAATATTTATGAAGATCTTGGCCAATCAACTTAATGTAATATACAAGATGATTATACCAAATCATCAGCAAGGATTCGTTAAAAATAGAGCGATAACGGATTCAGCACTAAATATTATAACAGTTATAAGAAACCAGTCAGACAACTACAAGCTATACTGGATGCTCTTTATTGACTAGCAAAAGGCATTTGACCAACTTTTTAGAACTGGTATTAGAAATAATAAACTTTAATTCGAAATTTATTAATATAGTCAGAAACCTTTTCAAAAATCAAGAAGTACACATAATGGAGGAAGATTGTATTTCAGGACCATTTAGAGTTGAAAGAGGGGTCAAGCAGAGTGACTCCTTATTTTCCCTCCTCCATGTATTGGCTTTTGAACTTCTGCTTACTAAATTAGAAAAAGGGCTTCAAGAGATTAAACTGGACAAACAGGTTTTTAAACTTTCAGCTTATGCTGACGACCTAATGGTTGGTATAAGTTTCTTATCGGATTGGATTAGCTTAAAACAAATACTAGACCTTTATAAATCTGCATCTAATGCACAAATTAATAAAACAAAAACAAAATTGGTCCCTCTTACAGATACTGTACACAGAGTGGAGCTTCCAAATGAAGACCACTTTCACAAGGTAATGAACCAAGAGACAATTACCATTCTAGGCTACAACATTTTACTGAATAGTCAGCCTAAAAAGAACCTATAGTCCCTAATGATTAATAAACTCAAGGCTTTATTAGATAAACTAGCTAATAGAAACCTTTTCTTCAAAGGGAAGATTCTACTAGTAAAAGCTTTTATTCTCTCTAAAATTTGGTATTTGGCATATCTCTTACTCTCAAATATAAAACAAATAACAGAAATCGATAGGCTTATAACCTTTTGGATTAAAGAAAACTCTAAAAAGCTTCCGAAATATTCAGTTTTCCAACAGTTATACTGTCAGGCCAGACTACAAGCCTTGGCAATTAGAAATATGTTAGATGCACGCATGGCCTTAGTATGGCTAAAGCTGCTTACCTCAGATTCTTTTTGGGCAAGATACGAAAGAGACAGAATAGGCAACATTTTAAAAAACAAGCAAGACATTTTAGTGCTACAAGCTCTCAAGTTACCTAACATTAGGTCTAAAGCTTGGCTCATAAAATGAAAACTTTATTTGGCAGTTTGGAAAAAAGCGAAAGGCTCAATTGAGGTTATTTCAGGTTGGTCTTGGAACAAAGAAGATGTTTAGTTGGGTAAAATAAAGAGAAATGAATTTTTGATCAAGAGACTATTGGACTTCTTTACAAAAAACTTGCTACCCACAACTGCTACTTATATAGCAATGCAACAAAAGTATCTTAGATGGATATCAATTAAGAAAGTAAACAATAAAGAAAAAATATATTTTGGCACCTTTTTTATAAAGCTTTTCTACTTGGATTCAGACTTAGACATATAACTCCAACAGAGACAAGTTATTGCTTATAGTGTGCAGGAAAATGGCAAACAATAGAACACTTTGCTATGCAATGCCAAATTAGTACTGAGATATAGAAAATAGCATACAAATATTTAAAAACAATTTATACCAATAATCTTCTATTTACTATAGAGGAAATATTTAGGGTAACAAATATAGTGAACCCTGGTTATTATATAGTAGCTCTTTGGCTATACATAATCACAGTTTATGAAATTTGGTGCTAGTACACCTTTGCAAAATGGAGGAGAACCCCAGGCCAATGTTTTTATTATCTGATGTTATAAACAAGTGAATTTCAAAGAAGATTCATTTATTACAGTCTAATTTAATGAATAATAGGTCTAAAGAAACTCAAAATATATATAAATTTCTTGTAATAGTATAATTTTTCCAGTTTAAATAAATAAATAAAAATACCACTGATGTCCCTAGCCATTAGGACTAGAGTTAAAAAAAAAAAAAAAAAAAAACTTATTTTGTACTAAGTTAATCAACAAGGTTGATTAATTGAAAGTTGTAGAGCTCACTGAGATGCATCTAATAGTGGTTAAATAATTTAAATCGGCCTAGTGGTTCACGAGATATCACCAAAAAACAATTAGCTAACTATATAAACAATGGTTTGTTTACATAGAGATTTTATATAGTTATCATAAATAGCCATATAGACAACCCGGATATATTACATTCCACCAATTAAAAAACTTGAATTATACTCGGGGTATATTGTTCAGAGAGGGGGTATAGTAATAGATGGATTTCTTCTTGTTAAATATAAATTACTAATAAAAAAACACCGGGTCTCTTATATTCTACTAAATTTTTAAACCTGGTTTAGACCCGGGTATATTAGAGAGGGGTCTACTATCAAGGAGAGATCTTTTATATAGCCATTTACGGTAGTCAATTGTTTTTTGACAATATCTCACGAACCACTGAACCAATTTAGATGATTTAACCACCATTAAATGCACCTCAGTGAGCTCTATAACTTTCAATTAATCAACATTGTCGATTAACTTAGTATGAAAAAAGTTTTCTTTGAATAATTGTCAAAAAATCTCTACATTTCCTGCTTATATAATTTACATAGTGATTTGCATCATGATTATACACCAGATTGTCAATTAAAGTTATTTTTATATGATACCTTAACTAGTGTTACAAATTGTTTATTTATTTATTTATTTATTTAAATATCTAAAACTAGTGATTTATTAATATTTTTTCTTAGCTAAGGATATATCGGTTTAGTCCAGTTTGCCCAATCCCTAATTGGATTGATTAAATAGTAATTTATGGTCTGGTCTAATCTAGGTACTAGTTCCAAAACAGTTCTTCTATAAATACATCATTTCTAAATACATAAGATTTTATTGATTAAAAATAACATAATTACAAATTGCTAGATATAAACAAACATCATGTAATCTGTATTACACCTAATTAAAAAATTTGATTGGGTGATATAAATATCACAAGAACCAGTTTGGGACCAGTCTAATGATCCTATCTATAATTATATCAGTCCTAGTTTAGAACTGATGCAACCCTAGTCTTATTATATATTAGTAGACTTGTATTATATTATCCAAATTTACCTATTTATTTAATTAATCCTAGTATTTTTATATCTGATATTACTATTGGCAAACAGTTTTCTATTGTTTATAAAATTTGTATTAACTTATGTCATAGCTTAACTTATACATTAGAAGTTACTCTACTATTAACACTTGCCCTTATTAAGGTTTATATATAACCCTGGTATTTGCTTCTTTTTTGATATCTTGGATTTATTTCTGAAGATTTCCACTTTCTAATCCAGTTAGCTTAAAAGAGTTGGTCTGCCTAGGCTTTAAATACTACATAATACTCTTCTCTTAGTATACACTTCCAGAGTATATAGTCTTTTTTTCTAATATAACTCTAGTGGTCAGATTGGTATAACCCCAAACTTATAAGGATTATGATTATCAGTTCCTTG